CCCCTGGTGAGAGGTGCCGAGCAGGAATGGGCATACTTGTTGCCCCCATCTTGGGGCCTGTGTGTTGGGGTTCACCCCGGTGAATGAGAGGGTGGCCTCACTCTGCCTACGTGTGGGGGGACGGGTTCTGACTGTTGTTTGTACTTATGCACCAAACAGCAGTTCAGATTATCCACCCTTTTTGGAGTCCTTGGAGGGGTTACTGGAAAGTGCACCTCCTGGGGACTCGCTTGTTCTGCTCGGGGACTTCAATGATCATGTGGGCAATGACAGTGAGACCTGGAGGGGTGTGGTTGGGAGGAACAGCCCCCCTGATCTGAACCAGAGTGGTGTTCTGTTGATGGACTTCTGTGCTCGTCGTGGATTGTCAATAACGAACACCTTGTTCAAGCATAAGGGTGTCCATATGTGCTCTTGGCACCAGGACACCCTAGGCCGCAGTTTGATGATTGACTTTGTCATCGTCTCATCTGATTGCGGCCACATGTCTTGGACACTCGGGTGGAGAGAGGGGCAGAGCTGTCCACTGATCACTACCTAGTGGTGAGTTGGCTCCGATGGTGGGGGAGGATGCCGGCCAGACCTGGCAGACCCAAACGTATTGTGAGGGTTTGCTGGGAACGTATGGCAGAGTCTCCTGTGAGACTGAGTTTTAACTCCCAACTCGGGGAGAACTTTGAACATGTTCCGAGGGAGGTGGGGGACATTGAGTCTGAGTGGACCCTGTTTCGTGCCTCTATTGTCGAGGTGGCTTACCGGAGCTGCGGCTGCAAGGTTGTCGGTGCCTGTCGCGGCAGCAACCCTCGAACCCGATGGTGGACACCGTCGGTGAAGGATGCTGTCAGGCTGAAGAAGGAGTCCTACCGGGCCTTTTTGGCCTGTGGGACCCCGGAAGCAGCTGATGGGTACTGGCAGTCCAAGCGACATGCGGCTCGGGTGGTCGTTGAGACAAAAACTCAGGCATGGGAGGAGTATGGAAAGGCCATGGAGAATGACTTCCGCACGGCTTCGAGGCGATTCTGGTCCACCATCCGGCGTCTCAGAGGGGGGAAAGCGGTACGCCACAAACACTGTTTATAGTGGGAGTGGTGTGCTGCTGACCTCAACTCGGGATGTTGTGGGTCGGTGGGCGGAATACTTTGAAGACCTCCTCAATCCCACCGGCACGTCTTCTACAGAGGAAGCGGAGCCTGGGGACTCTGGGTCGGGCCCACCAATCTCTGGTGCTGAGGTCACCGAGGTGGTTAAAAAGCTCCTCGGTGGCAGGGCCCCAGGGGTGGATGAGATTCGCCCAGAGTTCCTTAAGGCTCTGGATGTTGTAGGGTTGTGTTGGCTTACGCGACTCTGCAATATTGCGTGGACATCGGGGGAAGTTCCCCTGGATTGGCAGACCGGGGTGGTGGTCCCCTATTCAAAAAGGGGGACCATAGAGTGTGTTCCAACTACAGGGGAATCACGCTCTTAAGTCTCCCTGGTAAGGTCTATATGGGGGTTCTGGAGAGGAGGGTCCGTCGGATAGTCGAACCTCAGATTCAAGAGAAGCATTGCGGTTTTCGTCCTGGCCGTGGAACACTGGACCAGCTCTACACTCTCAGCAGGGTCCTGGAAGGTGCGTGGGAGTTTGCCCAACCGGTCTACATGTGCTTTGTAGACTTGGAGAAGGCGTTCGACCGCGTCCCTCGGGGGGTGAGAAGCTTGATCATCCGGGAGGGACTCAGAGTAGAGCCGCTGCTTCTCTACGTCGAGAGGAGCCAGTTGAGGTGGCTTGGGCATCTGTTTAGGATGCCTCCTGGACGCCTCCCTAGTGAGATGTTCTGGACACATCCCACCGGAAGGAGGCCCAGAGGAAGACCCAGGACATGCTGGAGGGACTATGTTTCTCGGCTGGCCTGGGAACGCCTCGGGATTCCCTCGGAAGAGCTGGCCCAAGTGGCTGGGGAGAGGGAAGTCTGGGCCTCCCTACTTAGGCTGCTACCCCCGCGACCCGACCCCAGATAAGCGGAAGAAAATGGATGGATGGAATACCCACCTCTAAGCTCAACAATTCTCTGTTTGAATTTGTCTGACTGTTTGGAGAAACTTGAAGAGATAAAAAATAAAAGTAAAAACCACTCCTGTGCACTTTGAGCTGTGTGATGTGTTTCAGAATCTCTGCAGAGGAGAAAATAAAAAGCCCCTGAATTTCACGTCTCACATATGACAGGCTGTATTGGATTGACCCCCTCTGTGGAAATAAAAAATCACTGCCAGCAGTGACGTCTCCACAGAGAGGAAACACTTCATGATAGAAATCTGAAAGAGACCCCAGCAGGATTCGGTAAGCACGGAAATGTAGAGCTACTTGTTCTGACAAAAAAACAAATTTGTGTTAATGTTGGTCAAGATCACAGTTTTTAACAGGATTACTAATGGAAACACTAAACATTGATTAAAACCCTCTCTCTCACACAAACACACAAAAAACAACAACGACACTACCAGGCAGCTTAAAATGAAAAATCTATTGGTGTACACTCTTTAGAGTTCAAATGGGTGCATGAATTTGCAGATGTGTTTTCACTACAGGACAATGGCATCAGAAGCATCTGTAATGTAGGGGGACACACTGGTTGTGTGTGTGTGTGTGTGTGTGTGTGTGTGTGCGTGTGTGTGTGTGTGTGCACAAAAAGTGTACACTAGTGTACAAAAAGCAAAATTTCACCTAGATTTCCTTTAAATCCACAAATTTAAAATGTTTCTCACTAAGTTTGTGTAAATTCAGCTGTGGGTTTTAAAGACATTTTAACTTTGGGATATTAGGGATTTAACAATGGGATTTACCTGTCTAAATAAAGGTTGAATGAAAACTTTAATACACATTAATACAGAGCATCAGGTTGACACTATTTGTGTTTATAGAGAAATAAAAAAACATCACCACTAGACTTTTTTTACTTGTGTTCAATACTACTCATCTAAATTATGTTTCTCATGAAGCTTGAGGACAATAAGTTGTGGTTTTAAATATGTTTAAACTTTAATGCACCTGAACACACAGCGTCACTTACACCTGCAGGGTCTTACAGCGTCACAGTTACTGCTAAGCTAAGATGTTACAGACGTAGCGCTCCACTTCTCTCAAGCATCCTCCTAACCATGTGTATATGTTTATGATCAACCCCCTCGATCAACAACTGCCCGCACTAAGCTCACTAAACTGGCGAGCAAGCAACACAGAGGTGTCTCCACCTCCTCCACCTGTGAGCGATCTCTGCCGAAAGAGGGCGAGGCAGGAGACGCAGGTTGCTGGAGAGATGTAGGTAACCAGGAAAACCTGGAGAGGACTTTTAGTGGTATGAGTATTCTCCTATTAATCAAGTGGAATGGATTTGTTCACGAAGAAAGACAAACTGCGCTGACTGAACTAATGTTTCATGGTAAAAGTGGGGTGGTCCAAATGAATGTTTTTTGAATGTGGGGGGGGGGGGGGGGTAGCGCTCACCTTCACAAATAATGGTTGCGATGCCTATGCTCCAGGATGTCAGTGATGTGTCTTGTAATGTCACAGCTCTTGTGCTTCCAGTTGCAAACACTATCCAAAGTGATGTGTATTCTGCTGGAGGCATCATCACATAACCTTGTACACATTAGAAAACACAGTGTGTGAATGTGAGCGCTAACAAGACAAAGTGTGTGTGCAGCCATGCATACACCTATGTGTGATTTACAATTGTGTGAACAAAGTGCCAGTGGGCATGAACTGCAGAGAAATATTTGTGTTAAGACTTACCAAAGATATTTGTGGAATGTCCTTTTTTAGCGAGGGGCTTCAGCTCGTTGTGACCCCAGCCGTATTGTCTGTAGCTGTCCCATGCGTGTTTCATCATCTACAAAATTAAGAGACCAAATAAAAAATGTATTTAAAGATTTCAGGTTCCCCCCCCCTCCCGAGGTGAAACCATAAAACCACAAACCATGCAACTTATCTAATCATAAACTACAACATTTAGAAACATTTGAAGGGTGCAATTGCAGCTACTGTCAGCAACATGCACCGCATCATGTCAGGACTGATGAGAGCTCCGCTTTGACTCACACTTCTTGTGCTCATTCTTGTTTAGACTTTTTGCACCTGCACTGCACCCCCATGCTACGGGTATGACCGCGATGCACTTTTGGAGTGAGTGGGGACTTTAGGACAACATTTGGGGACTCCGCAGTGGACATTTTCTCCTGGGTCCTTTGTTTACTTGGGCACCATAAAAGGAAAACACAGAGAGGGAAGCGAGCTGATATTTTATGCAGGACATGCCAGAGACGCAACAAACCCCCTCTCCCATCTGTCCTGCTTTCAGGCGTTCAGTCTCTGAGGAGTGGACTGGATAACCTGCACACATTGATTTATTGCAAGTGGAACACAAGGAGCTGTTGTGTCTTTCCCTTTAATGAAACTTGGCTGAAGCCGTCCATACCCGACTGTGCTATGGCTCCGGACAACTTCTCTGTCTACCAGCTCGACACATCTGAGTCACATCTGTGACACCAAATGTATTTTTCGGCCTATAAGTTGAAGTTTTTTGCATAATTTACATGCCTTGCGACTTAGGTTGTTCTATTTCGTATAGGCTTCGCCCTTTAAGAGCTGTCACTTAGTGGGTTTATCCCATCATGCGAAGCATTGCACTGAAAAATTTAGTCCACGCCCACCTGCTGTGTGGGCCCCACCCGGTCCGTATAAATTATGTTAAGAGCGGGTAATCAGCTCCCATTTTTCTTTAGCAAGCTAATAGCACTGTCAGAAGAACGAAGAAGGGATGTTGTCGAGCTTGACCAACCTTTGTTAAGACTGCCTGTGGCCACGCCACGTCAACCTCCTGCCGTCCCGGTGAGTTCTCCTCCCCGAGGAGAAGCAGACGAGCAGTCTTGTTTCAAGGTAAGCGCCGAGGAGTATTTCTCAGTGGCGGGTCGCTACACGCTGGACGACGCCATCTTGTAATTTTCCTTTTATCGCCGACTCTCGGGGCGAATCGGATGGTTCCTCCGGGACAGGCGACGTCAGCAGCAGCCCCACGCTGCTCACTCCCTCCTGGAGAGCGTAGTGTCGGAACAAGGGGGGCTGAGCGAATGCTCACCCCTCCCCAGACCTTTTTTGCATCGGAGACCACACCGCTCCCAGCTGTCGGTGCCCTCCTCTGGAGCAGCCCAGCATAATCCAGGAGGCGCCTGACATGAAGGGACTTTTTCTGTCCCTCTCCTTCCCCCGCCCAGATCGGATGATCTAGCATTAAGGTTTCTGGGCTCCACCCCGGCTTGCCGTCCTGATCCCATCTGGCCTCGTTTCCCAGCAGTGACGTCCTACTGGAACGAGGCCGCAGCCGGTCCTGGTAGATTTAGGGCGCCGGTTCCCAAATTTGCGCCCATCACCAGAGTGGAGGGGTTTCACCGAGCGGAAATTCCCTCGGTGCCACCCTGGAGCCAAGCCTGGCGGAGGCTTTCGGAGCAAGATGTTCAGGTTGGACCAGCGTCCTGCGCCTCCAGGTAAGGATGACCAGACGGTGACGTCACTCTCCAACTGAGCTCACCAGTGTGCGTTCCAGGCGGCCACAGCGAACAGTACGTTACGCTGCTGGCGTACAACGTTCAAGAGGCTGGAGGAGACGTAGCACTACCTCTTCAAAGCAGCTGACGTCATCCTCAACCTGCTGTCTGCCAGTCTCGCATCGCAGCCCCGAGGACGAGGTTTCCCAGAGGTCCACCTGGCTCGTCACTCCACCTCCCTCTTGAAGGAGATGCAGAGGGTTTTTTGGTTGGAGGGCCCCCATCAGCGACGGACGCGCTGTTCGGGACCATTTTCAGACAAAGTCAACGCATTCCACGGCTGCAGCAGCGTCTCCTCGCTCCGTTACACCAGCCCTGCCCGTCAGACATTAGCCTTTCTCATCCGGGCAACCGGAGGTTCAGCATTTCCCTGAGATCACCAACAGGCAGCGCCCTAGGACAACAAACCGCAGAGCTCACGGGGGAGAAGATTCAAAATGATGGTTTGCGGAGGATGTGTGTAAAGATGACATGAGTTTTGGGAATAAAACATCATTTAATGATTAAAGTGTCTGATGTTAGCCTGTCTGTCAGCTCAGATTAGCTCAGATTACCTCACAGAGGCTCCTTCACACATCCTCTACACAAAACGAGCCGGTGGCCTTTAAAAAAGGTTTTTCAGAATCAACGCTGCTCTAAAATAAAGGCGAGACGCTCGCTTGACACAACAGTCGAAAGCGAATGTGGTCCGCAGAACGAGTTCAGTGGAATAACTCAATTTCAGCACGAGCTGCATACTTCTCACCAAAGAGGTGTCAAACGCGCATTCCTGCGACGTGAGCAGCCTTCACTCAAACGGTGCTGCGTTGATGAAGGCGCGCACACCGCTCCCAGTGAGAAACCTCGCTCTCAGCAGGAGTGGCACGCACCTCACCGAAGCAAACGCGTGCTTCCACGGCACCTGCAGCCTTCATTCAAACGACGTGGCGTTGATGAAGGCGCTGACACCGCTTCTCTTTACTAGTTGTTATATATCGTCCACCAGGCGCTTACTCTCAGTTTTTGTCTGAATTCTCAGAATTATTAACTGACTTATTATTAAATACTGATAAAATCATCATAATGGATGATTTCAATATTCATGTGGATGTTGAGAGTGATAGTTTAAGCATGGCCTTTAATAATTTAATAGACTCTTGGTTTTACTCAAAACATCTGCACATCTGCTCATTCTTATCATCACACTTTTGATTTAGTTCTGACCTATGGTATAGAAATTAAGGACTTGGTAATAGTTCCTCAAAATCCTATTCTGTCCGACCATTTTATAATAACCTTTGAGTTTACATTAAATGACAACACAGTCACTGAGAGTAAATTTCATCTCAGCAGGTGCTTATCAGAAAATGCTGTAACCAAATTTAAACAATCTCTTCCATCAATGTTTTCCTCTGTCTTGCAGAGTAATGCATCAGAGAACAATGACTTAGATCATCTAGTTGATCATCTTACAACTTCAATGCAAACTTTACTTGATAAAATTGCTCCACTGAAAAAGAAAGTAATCAATGTAGATGAACAGATGCTGGGATATATTCATCATTTAACGCGGGTTCCTCATTTTTCTGGACTGAATAAAACGTGCATTGAATTTAAGGAAATGCAAAGTGAGACGTCATTTATATTTGACCCATCAAAATGAATGCGGTCATTTATTTACAGAATCAAATTTAACATCAAACATTTACATTAATTTGGCAAATTATGAAAATAACAATATAAGCAATCAATCAGGAAAAATCATACGGCCATGATTTTTCCGTTGCTGCACCAAAGACATTTATGAAAACTGTACAACTATGATCTTTTGCCCACATGAATGTGGGTGAGCATTTTACACAGACATTTCTAAATATCTGGGAGAATTTCTACTTGATAGAAAGTTAAAGATGAAAGAAGTTAAAGGGAGTAAGATTGAATGGGAAGGGAGGAATGTTCACCAGAACCGACACTCTCCATCAGAAGCCCAGCTCTCCTTCGGTACGCTTGGTAGGAAACTTGATCCATTACCTCTCTGAAGATTTATCAGCAGATATGGAATTCCGTTAACGCTACCGGTCCAGCGTCTCCTGATGGGGCTGTAGCTCGTCAGAAGTAGTGGCTAGTGAAAGTTATAATCCCATGGAACTCGGAAGAGCCTTTTGTCATGTCAAGATCATCCCGTCTCCAACAGAACTTGAGCAGAACCAGCAGAAAACTCTCCAGCACTCCAGCAACTTCAGAACTCCAGAACTCTAGAAGTCTGACAACTCTCCAACTCCGTAACTCTGTGAGTCTGTAACTCTGTGTAGACCAGGAAGTACTGACATTTTAAAGACTCTTTCCCGGTTCACTTTTTGGGATTTTTCATTGGTCAGAAACGACCAGACGGGGTGGGTTTTGTGACGTAAGAGGTTAGAGACAGCGAGAATTGTTATGGGACAGCTCAGAAATGTTCTCACAGACCGAGAGGGTTTTGTTTTGGCGTGTTTCAGGACACAGGTGCAAAACATCTCTACTTACGTCTGAGAGGATTCTAAAACATGACAGTTTTAACATAACAACTTGTTTTTCGTTTGACTGTAACCTTGTAAACGCACACACTTGCTCATTCAAAAGCAGAAATCAGAAAATGCATAAACTCTGCACAGCTTTTAACATGAGAATAAAAATCATTACTCAGTTAATAAAATTGATTAGTTCACTGCAACATCTAAAATGGTTTGAACTAAGACACTTTGATTATCAACATTTGTAAGATAGTAATGATAATAAAAAGAGAGTGTTCTTTTCACTTGAATCTTCAAGAAAGAAAGTCTCAGGATGGGTGAACCTGTATTTATGGATTCAAATACATGAAATGACAGCTTCTGTCCCACAAGGTTCTAAAGGTCAAGAGTTTTGACCTTAGACTGGGTTTCGACGTAGGCCTAGTCCACTACAGTCCCCCCTTTGGAAATCATCACCTGTCCATGGAGATGAATTCCAACTATGGACTTACGTCGTCGATTGTCCTTGAAGCTTGATGTAATCCAGCAAAGAAACAAGAGTCAAGAGTAATCCAGCAAGGAAAACAAAAGTCAAGGTAATCCAGCAAGGAAAACAAAAGTCAAGGTAATCCCACAATGTTCTTGGTAATTCCATTGTGTTGATTATAATTCCATATCGTCTCGATAATTCCATTGTAGCAATGCTTTAACCCCTTGGAAACAGAGTCTGTAATCCATTGGAAAAAGTCATATAATCCACAACGGTAAATCCACAACGATTGGAAGTGTTGATTAATCAGCATACAGAGGGGTACCCTTGG